GGTGGGGCAATCGGCGCAGGTACAGGGTCAAGGAGGCGGCGGGCAGTTGTCTGCAGAAGTATTAGCCCTGCAGGCAGAAGTGCAGTCACAGCAGGAGGAGGAAGCATTCGATGTAATGGGTCACTATGACGTGGAATTGGACGGGTGGTTGATAAATGATCAGAATCCGGGGGCTTCCGGTTCGCTGGATGCGTTCGATCAGGACTGGGAACTGTTTCTGACGGACCACACGGAAGCAGAAACAAATTCGACCGTGGACCAGCGCTGCGAAAGACCGGAACCGGTTCTGGCCGAACAACCGACGGAGTCACCCCGTCAACCTGGTGTCAGGCAGCCTTGTGTCGGAGAGGATGCAGTCTATCGGCCGGATGTCCTGCAGGGGCTGACCGCACGCGTTTTGAGTGACTGTCTAGCAGAAGAGGAAGCTCCTCTGCAATCGTTTTCTGAAACCGAGGCAAACGAGTTACTAAAATACGTGATCCACTGCTTCCGAGGGGGACGGAGGAAGCAGAATGTGAACATTTCGTTCGAGACCTGTGCTTGGCGGGCACTGAATCTGGCGCTCTTTTTGCGAGAGAGACTCTCCAAGCAATCGTTAATTGACACCAGCACTCAGTCAGTCGGCCCCTCACAGGTGGCGAGAAGCGAGTTTGGCGCGTTGATCGATGGGGCCGAGCAAATTGTAAAAAGGCCCCTTGGCGTCGGCGACGTCTGGTTCCTAGCGTGCACGATGCGCGCGTTGAAAATGGCGGACTCCCGCAACTTGAAGACGTTGCCTGCCTGGAGGTCTACTGCGTTACTGTACAGAGACACCATTCCGGATGACCTGCCACGACTGCCGCAAGGCAAGGAGGCAATTAGGTTGGTAGCAACCGCTTCCAAACTCCAGTTCTGGTTGCACCAAGCGGCTGCGGCGTTCCGCTCTGGGGAGCCGGCCGCAGTAAACCCGTTTCAGCGCCAGGCTACTGTCTCGTCGTCACGCACCGCAGTGGGTCGGAACAGATTTGATGAAGAGATCAAGACTTGGATGGCTCGCATTCCGGGTCCCCCAAAAATCAAGACGATCTCCCAGTACGCGATGTGGTTACTCAGCTGGGCAAATACCGAGTCGCGCTCGGTGATGAACTCCGCCAGGAAGGTGGAAGCCGCAAGCAAAGCGGCGGGCCGCCGGCCGAGCTCGTCTTGCTGGGACCATCACGCAGACTCCGCCTTGAGGGCGTTCGTGGCGACTGTGGCACAGAGTTACGTGGACGAGGAGCAGAGAACGGCAAGCCGTTACGGGAAAGAGTGGATGGACCGGGAAGGGATCTTGTCCGCGGAAGGGAAATGCGAAGTAGCCGAATTTGCGGCCGATTGGATGAGGAGACTGAAGGTAGACAAAGTGCAAGCATGCCACTCCGTAAAAAAGAACGGCTTCCGCCACTGTGGTTGGCGGTGGTTGCATCTGGCTGGCGTCATTAAAGACCAGTTGGGCCCCTCTGAAGTTGACGGCTTAGTAGCCGTGGTAGAGCGAGGGGTCCCGCGCCCAGAACAAGTCTCACCGCTCTGGTTTCTCGCGAGTGTGATCCGCATGCCCGGCGCCAGTCTGGCCCTGGACAAACAGATCAAGAAGCGCCTTGGCACCGGCGACAACGGGTGGACCTCCTCCGTCGCCCTGCACCGCGATGTGTTCCCTGGCGACTTCGGTCCACTGCCCGAATCGCAAGCTTCCCGACAACAGCTGGCGGCCCTTTGCTGGGTCGCACACTGGCTCAAAAAGGGAGCTCAGCACTTCGGACAATCCCGTCGCGGACGTAAGGTCCCCGCACACAAGCTCTGGCAGTCTTCGGTCTTCGGCTGCGTCACCCGCCTTGCCCGTCGAGTACTCGGGGACGGCACGTTCGCCAAACTCATTGCGCTGTTTAGAGCGCGCCTCCCTCCAGCTGCCCATCTCTCCGACACCGTCTTAATGGACTGCCTACTTAGGTACGCCGAACTCAGAAAAGAACGAGTCGACGAGTTCTGCAAACAGTTCCAGCTTCCGCCCACTCAACCGCCCCAGAAGCGGCACCTTCCCACAACGCCCGACCTGGGGCCTACAAACAAAATGGCTATGAACTGCCCCTGACGAACTCTTCCCGGCGATGAGAAGGAGGCTTCCAGCGCGACTCCAGCTATCGTGTCCGACAATATTGACAAGTCCAACTCCGGGGTTACCGATGGTTCAACTCCGTGTCCGGAGTGGGGCGGCTTAGGAGAGGAAAAAACCGGAAGGTGTATGTAGCCTAGAGAGTCGGAGTGATTTGGGTTTTTGTACCCAACCGTCGATGAGCGTTTGACCAGTGACGGCGCACGGTCACCAGTCCTCCCGTGAAGCTCTATCTAAAAAGTGTGTGCGCACAAAAAAGTGTGTGGACATAACAAAGATCTTGCCTTGTCTCCCCCCCCCCCTAATTCCGCAGTGATCCCTGGCTTTGAGGGCGTGCGGAGGCGTGAGAAGATGGAGGGTTGCTACCCTAGCAATGACACGTACGTGTTGGCCGAAGCCAGATGTACGACGACTGGCCCACGGTTGGTGAGAGCGCGGGTTGATGGCACCTGAGCGGCAGAAGGTCTGTAGGGGAGCGAATCGTGGCCGTTGTCAGGCCCAGTGTTGGTAAAGGAGTAAGTGTCGTTTGGGAAGGGTACTCGTTGCTGTCACTCCAGTGGCCCACGGCTACTGAAAAACGAAACAAGGGCAGGTGACTCGTCCACCGTAGACAAGCGAATGGACCGCTGATAGGAGGCTGGGCCATGGTGGTCGTACGCTTGTGAAGATGACACCCGAGTGGCAGACGACTACCAGAAGAGCGGAGCAGTAGCAGGACTGACGACTAGGAAGGAGCATGTGACTGACCCATGGTTATGATGAGTTCGAGATGACGACACTCCACTGATCTATGGTTGGTTGAAGTCCTAAGCGACGATATGCTGGATGTCCACAATTGTCACAGGTGCGTCGGTATAGTAAGTGACTGGTGTGCCGTGGAGAGAAGAGTGTTTCCGTAACGAGTGATCGGTGCAGGGTTGCGTGTGAGGGATAGACGGCCAGCGTGGAACGGCTTGGCAGCTGTGAGTGGTTTTACCCGAGGTTGTTCGAAGTGTCGGCGGGTGTGTGTCAAGAAATACCGACTGGCAGACGAGATACCGTACTGTAGTAAGTGCCCCCCCCGGCCAGAGTCAAATGCTCTGCGGCCTCTTCTTACGCATGCTTGGATACCGTGATCTATTTTTCTGGTCTCAAGCGGGACAAGAGCTCTGGGCAGCTTTAATGCGGGGCACCTGCGGCAAGATATGCACCACAACGCGACGAACGCGCAAACAGGAAGAGTCAGCGAACATGGGAGTGAACGCGTCCGCGTTACCGTGCGTCACGCCAGACCGGTGGGGAAGAGCCATGCTCGCTGAGGCGGAGCGCCCACCGTTGCAGCCGGACGGACTTCGCGTCGAGGAGCCACCGGAAGGAGGAGTGCGAACCACGAAGCCGCCGGAAGCGCAAGGGCGAATGGGCGGAACTTTTCCAAGGTTCATACTACAGCAATCGCCTCCCTTTCCCTGAGATGCCACTTGCGCTCGGGCGTGGTGAACCTCCGCGATTCCCGCGCCACGACGCGCTCGTTGCCAGCAGTGTCAACCTGCGACAGTACGCACCCCAGTCCACAACGAACGGACGGGAGAAGTCCCCGTGGGCCTGAACCGCTTCCACAGAGAGCGTCGAGCGAATGGCGTCAAAAGCTTGCTGCCGTGTCGGGGTCTAGGCCCAGGCGTTCGCGGAGGTGAGCCTTCGGAGACCTTGGGACTCCCGTCACAGGGACCCGTGCAGGCCGGAGAACCCGCGCAGGCTGGGGAGGATTTTTGGTAGTGCCTTCTTTGCGCGGGGTGCTGGTCTCGCGGCACCTCAGGAACGGGGGGAATTATTTATCCCGCTCAGGGCAACAAGATACACATGCGACAGGCATGGTGTAATCGGAGCGCAAGACACGAGGTGACTTTGCGTATTGCCGTGTTTTCGCCGAGCGTGATACCTCTCGCAAACGACCAGGGGAATGTGCCGCTCCAGGGCGCAGAACGCAATACAGGATATGCGACTTGGGGGGGAATCTCGCGAGCTGAAACCACTACGGTAGACCGACGGTACGAAACATGGGGGGAGCTTCCGTCGCAGGACCGGTATCAGATGACTTCACAGAACCGGTACATGAGTGCAGGACCAAATCCTACGGAAGATCTGACACGGGGACTAGCCGGACAGATACCAGGACAGTTACATGCGTTGAATCAGCATCAGCAGGACTCTAGTGTGATAGATGACTTGACTATGGAACTGAATCGGTATTTGACGAACAATCCAGGAGCATCGAGTATTATGGATTTGGTGTGGGAATATCACACGGGAGAGGGCCCGGTGGACCAGGGGTATGAAGAACTGGGACCGACTGCGGTGGGGCAATCGGCGCAGGTACAGGGTCAAGGAGGTGGCGGGCAGTTGTCTACAGAAGTATTGGCCCTGCAGTCAGAAGTGCAGTCACAGCAGGAGGAGGAAGCATTCGATGTAATGGGTCACCATAACGTGGAATTGGACGGGTGGTTGATAAATGATCAGAATCCGGGGGCTTCCGGTGCGTTAGATCAGGACTGGGACCGGTATCTGATGGACCACACCGAAGCAGGAACAGATTCCACGGTGGACCAGCGCTGCGAAAGACCGGAACCGGTTCTGGCCGGACAACCGGCGGAATCACCCGGCCAAACTGTCGCCGGGCAGCCTTGTGTCGGAGAGGATGCAGTCTACCGGCGTGATGTCCTGCAGGGGCTGACCGCACGCGTTTTGAGTGACTGTCTAGCACAAGAGGAAACTCCTCTGCAATCGTTTTCTGAAACCGAGGCAAACGAGTTACAAAAATACGTGATCCACTGCTTCAGAGGGGCACCGAGGAAGCAGAATGTGAACATTTCGTTCGAGACCTGTGCGTGGCGGGCACTCAATCTGGCGCTCTTTTTACGAGAGAGACTCTCCAAGCAATCGTTCGTTGACTCCAAAACTCGGCCGCTCGGTCGCCCACAGGCGGCGAGAAGCCAGTTTGGCGCGTTGGTCGATGTGGCACAGCTAATGGTAAGGAGGCCCCCTGGCGTCGGCGACGCCTGGTTCCTCGCGTGCACGATGCACGCACTTAAAGTATCGGACCCCCGCAACTTGGAGTTGTTAAAGACGCTGCCTGCCTGGAGTTCTAATGCATTGCTATACAGAGACACCATTCCGGACGAGTTGCCACGACTGCCGCAAGGCAAGGAGGCAATGGAGTTGGTAACAACCGCTTCGAAACTCCAGTTCTGGTTGCACCAAGCGGCTGCGGCGTTCCGGTCTGGGGAGCCGGCCGCAGTAAACCCGCTTCATCGAGCGTCTTTAGTTTCGTCTCTACGCGGCAGGCTGGGGCCGAAGAGGTTCGACGAAGAGATCGAGACTTGGATGGTTCGCAATCCGCCTCCCTCGGGGCTCAAGTTAACGGCCTCTCAGCGCGCGTGTTGGCTGCTGAGCTGGGTGCCAAATATGGTGCCCGGAAGGCCGAGAAGGGAACAGGGCGGGCCGGCGCTTCCGTCACGCCGCTCCGAATTGACTTCAAACTGGGACGCGGCCGCCGACGCCGCGTTGAGGTCTTTCGTGGGGACTGTGATACAGGAATGCGTCGAAGCAGAGCAGAAGGCGGCGGAGCGGTACGGAAAGGAGTGGATGGATCGGGAAGGGATCATGTCGGAGGAAGGGAAGTGCGAGGTAGCCAAGTTCGCAGCGAGGTGGATGAGGGGGGTGACGATGGACAAGCTGAAAGCATGTCACCTGAGAAAAACACTCGGCTTCCGCCACTGTGGTTGGCGATGGCTGCATCTGGCTGGAGTCATTAAAGACCAGTTGGGCCCCTCTGAGGTTGACGGCTTATTGGCCGTGGTAGAGCGAGGGGTCCCGCGCCCAGAGCACGTCTCACCGCTCTGGTTTCTCGCGAGTGTTCTGCGCTTGCCTGGCGCCGGTCAGGTCCTGGACTATCACATCAAGAAGCGGCTCGGTCCCGGTGACAACGGCTGGACATCCCCCGTCACCCTGCACTGCGACATCTTCCCGCACGACTTCGGCCCACTGCCCGAATCGCAAGCCCACCGACAACGACTGATCATGGTTTGCTGGACCGCACACTGGCTCAAGAAGGGGTCCCAACACTTCGGACAGTCCCGTCGAGGGCATAGCGTCCCCAGATGCAGGCTGTGGCAGTCCTCGGTCTTCAGCTCCGTTGCCCACTTCAGTCGCCAACTACTCGGGGACGACACGTTCGGCAAGCTCATTGCGCTGTTCAGAGCGCGACTCCCCCCGGCTGCCAACATCTCCGACACCGCCTTAATGGACTGCGTGCTTAAGCACGCCGACCTCAAACACCGACGAGCCAACGAGTTCTGCAAACAGTTCCAGCTTCCGCCCACTCAACCGCCCCAGAAGCGGCACCTTCCCACAACGCCCGACCGGGGACCTACAACCAAAATGGCTATGAAAACTCCCCTTGACGAACTTCTCTTGACGAACTCCCCTTAGCGACGAGTTCTTTGGGGGGGAGGAGGCTTCCTGTGGGGCACGAGCGCGATCCCAACGACCGCCTCGAACATCACAAGTAATCCGACTTGCGCTGTAACTGAAAACATGGGGTGAGTGATTGTTGCTCGTATTGCCGATTGTTGTTCATGTTCGCATTGATCGCTGTGGTCTGGCTCTGCCGGTGTCAGTGCACTACGAGAGAGCCTTTATTTTATTTAAATTGATTTGAGCGAACACGCGATCTTTAAAATGGACGTCGCGGGTGAAGGCGATATGCCGGGGTGTTCGGCACAGGGAGCAACACTGCGGGTGGCTGTGTTCGTGTGATCTGGGCGGACACGGTCCTACGAACTACAGGAACGTGAGTGTGGGTGCCCATGTTGATCTCTCAGTCCCATAAATATCCCCGTCTGAAATGAGGGATGGAGTACATGGTGCGGAACCGTCTCTGATCTCTGACGGGCACGGAGCGGGCAGATACCACGACGGAGGGACAGCGGTACGAAGTACTGGGGCCGGTTTTGCTTGGAGACCCGCTAAAGGTACAGGATCAAACTGGTATCAGGCACTGGTCCACAGATGGATGGCCCCGTCTACAACCCTGCAATGGAGTCAGACGGCCCAGATATGACGAATCAACAGAATGCGGGAGCCGTGATAGAGGAAAGCACCTCGTCGATGTCGACAGGTCACGGGTTCAAATCCTACGGTTGTTTTTTTAAAAAAAAAAAGGCCGCGGATGCGCTCGTGGAAAAGTAACCTACATTGGAGGGAGCGTTGTGTGTTGAGACTGGCCATATTTACTCTAGTGGGACAGGCACCAAATGACGGCAGGGACGCGGACTACGAGTCGGATGGGGTTAGATGTTTGTCTGGAATGAAACAGACGTATGGAGAAGCATACAATGCGTCGTGGGTACAGTGTCAAGTACTGGCCCCGCCACAGCTACAGTTACAACAGGAGGAGGAAGCACCCAATATGATAATAGGTCACTATGATGTGGACCTGGACCGGTACCTAGTAAATGAGCAGGATCCAGAATCCGGTACGTTGGAAGCGTTGGAGGTGGACTGGGAACCGCTTATGACCGGGGCAAATCAACAGGGAGTAACCCACATCATGAATGACTTGAATGTGAATCAATTTATGATGAATCAGACGCAAGTAGCAGCATCGCCCACGGAACACCTCGAGGTAGACAATGGAGACGAAAGACGGGAGTCCATTCTTGCCTGGAACCGTACAAGGTCAGGTGACGGGAGTATGGCGGTACAAGATCAGGTGACGGGAATGCACTCACACGCGCCAGAAATAGCGAATGCGGGAGCGTCCGATGTGATGGATGACACGAGTCTGCAATGGTGCGGGTATCTGATGATGAACCACAGAGAAAAAGGACCTGATGCCACGGTGAACCAGCGGTACCAAAGAGCGGGACCGGTTTTACTCCAACAGTCTCCTGTGGTTCAAGTACTGGCCCCGCCTTCAGAAGTGCAGTCACAGCAGGAGGAGGACGCATTTGATATGAAAGGTCACTATGATGTGGACCTGGACCGGTACCTAACGAATGAGCAGAATCCAGAATCCGGTACGTTGGAAGCGTTGGAGGTGGACTGGGAACCGTTTGCAACCGTGACAGATCAACAAGGCCAGTCAGCGGGCTCTTCTAGTTGGGACGCGGGTGCTGACTCTGCCTTGAAAGCTTTTGTGGGGACTGCGATACAGGAATGCGTCAAAGCCGACCAAAGGGCGGCACAGCTGTACGGAAAGGAGTGGATGCATCGGGAAGGGATGATGTCGGAGGAAGGGAAGCGAGTGGTAGCTGAGTATGCGGTGAGTGGGATTAAGAACGTTGCGGCGTTGAAAGAATGTTGTCGCAAAAACAAGTCAGACTTCAGCCGTTGCGGGTGGCGATGGCTGCACTTAGCAGGTGTGATGCAAGAGGAGTTAGGCATGCCTAAAATAATCGACTTGGTGGATGAAGTCGAGCGAGTGATCCCGCGGCCAGCCCACGTCTCGCGTCAGTGCTTCCTCGCCAATATTCTGCGCTCCGTGCTGGCCCGAGATCCACTGAACTGCCGTGTCAGGTTGTGGCTTTCTGTCCGCAATAGCGGCTGGACATCTTCCACTAACTTGCACTCGAATATCTTTCCCCATGACTTCGGGCCACTGCCCGAATCACAAGCCTGCCGACGACAAGTGGCGCTCCTCTGCTTTGCCGCACGCTGGCTCAAAAGGGGAGTCCAACACTGGCTCGAAAGTGGAACGAAACAGTTTCGACGGACCATACAGTTCCGCGTCGTTGACCTCCTTGTCGAAGAACTCGGGGACCGCAGGCTCCGCGAATTCATTGCTCTGTTTAGAGCACGCCTCCCCCCCACCGTCCAGGCCTCCGACACTCAGCTAATGCAATCCTTGTTCGTGCACTCGAGGATCACCTGCTCACGAATCAACGAATACTTCCGAACTGTTCCAGCATCCTCATGATAAATCACTGGGCGCTAGCTAAACATCGTTGGTGGC